ACTGGTACGTGACTGTATCTTTGTCTCAAGAAGATGTGACTCATTATAAAATGAATAGATATATAGATAGATAGATACATACAAGATGTTAAACCATATGTTTCAAAGTTTTTGGATTAAATGGTCAAAGAAATATCTGTCATATCTAAGTGGCATATAAATGAGGATGTCAAGGTGGGATCCATGGTTTTAGTAAGAGACAATGATTTACCGCCGTTAAAGTGCGAGCTTGGTAGAATTGCTGAGTTACACCATAGAACAGATAAGGTGTATTCAAAGTGCAAACAAAAAATTGTCTATTTAAAAGGGCCTTAGCTCGATTGTATCGATTGCTTTTTGAAAAGGAGTGATTTATATTCGGGTATAATAAAAACTTTGGCCATAAAATTACAATATTTTTAGTTTACTGGGTCAATTTTGGTACCTAATTAAGCTTTTGTATTTTAGTAGTTTGTCTGTTGTAGTTTATGGTTAGGTATATTGGATGTTTTTTTTTATTGTATGGATTATTGAATACAGATTATTCAAGGGGGGCAGCATGGATAATTCACTGGGCGGTCAGATGTTATCGGGTAGCGTTAGGCGCTACCGAACCGTTGGGTTCTTTTTACATTTTTACGTTAAAGTCAGTGACAAGTGACATATTTAATTTTGTATAGGGCTGAGCTGTTTTTTGCCTATGTTAATATTGTTTTTGTAATATATACGTTATATGTATACAGTCCACTTTATTTAATTAGGAACTAAACAAAACTAATCGTTAGTAATTACGTACAAATTTTAAATTTGAAACCATTCTTGCATTTAAGTCTCTTTTCAGGAACAAGAATATAAAAATTATGTTTGATCTATTCGATGAGACAGTAGTCTAAAAAATGTTGTGTTCACCAAAGCCGTATGATCTTTTTTATCCGAACTTTATGGTCTTGGTACACATAATAACTTTTATCCTATTTTCTAATCAAAATTACTAAAAGGTTTTCTCAAGAAAAGGTATGATCCAATTTTATCAACAGGAATCGCTCATGTTACACCCTGTATAAAAAAGTAAAATAAATTAAATATTCCTTGCTTAAAGTTATACATCTGTGCCCATTTTGAATAATTATAAATATGTTGTGAAATTATTACAAAAAAATATTTCATTTTTATCTATTTATTTGATTTTTATTTTATTAAGCGATGTGTGGACCAGTCCTAATATGTTAGTACAAACAACCTGCGCTTACTTTATACCCAATAGTTATGACTCACCCTGTATTTTATGTCTATAAACCGAAGTTTTTTGTGCCGTTTGTATTTTTAAAGGTAATTTTGTGTAATTTCTACATATATTTACATTTTTTATACGTTCCGTAATTTACAAAAAGGTATATCTATTATGCAAGTGCCTAAAAACATATTATTCGCGCAAGTGTGACATAGAAAATTGTATGTACGAGTTCGCCATAAAGTTAGACTTTTATTTGACTGCGGTTTCTATACATAATATTTCATTTATATTAGAAAATACGTTAAAATTATATTACCAAAAAATCTTATTCTAACTTTATTTAAATATTTATTCTAGTGCCATTAGGATAATTTTACCAAAAAAATACGTTCTATTATTATTAATATTTCAATATCCATACTCTTGTATTCGTACCTATCTTACTTGTTCTTTAAACTTTTTAAAACAAGTCAATGATATTAGTTATTAAATGTTTTATAGTCTAACCCTAACTGATAAATCATTACCTAATCTAATTTTTATCTAATATCATCTAATAATAAGCAATTTCAAAAATAAATACAATGGCATTTTTAAACTTATTGCGGAATAATAATATCAGATACCGCAACACAATAGATTCTTCTCAGAAATTGCTTTTAGAAAAGCCTGATGATTAATTCAGTTCTTCCGCTCTATTAGATAAAGTAAATGCGTCATTTAAGCGATTCATAGAAAAAAAAACAACAAACACAAACTTCAATTATGCAGCATTGCGTGGTCCCAACCTTTGATACATTTCATTCCATTTCAATAATTATTATATCTAGAATTTTTAAACCAATTTTTTAGTAATTCTGATTTTATAATAACATGCCCTAAAAAAATCTTATTAAAGCACAAATTAAATAAACATTTCGGCTTTATGCAAAATTAACGTATTTTAATTATTAACGAAAAATTTACCTATAGCGAGGAAATAATTTATGACCAGGGATTTAATAACAGAGATAAAAATAGATTAGTCAGAAAAACAACGAATTTATTAATGACGATTTATAATTAAAAAAAAAACTAGTGATTGTAAAAATAAGTGGATGAATACAAATTAGAATTTGATTGTAATTAATCACAGAAGAACGTAGTTTGACACTATATAATCATTAATAAGAACCAATTTACTGAACCAATGCAAAATGCAAAATCAACATACAATTTATTAATTAAAAAAAAAATAATAATAATAATAATAAAAACAATTTAATTTGATATAGTTATTTTTTTATAAAGTAATTTACTTAATGTGAATAGTAAATTAGTCATAAAGAAATTACAATTAAAATGACAATTAACGTTTTAACTTCCAAAATTCATAAAAACTTCTTTTAACATAATAATTAAATTACCGATAAAAAAAGTTTAACTACAGAAACAAGAGTTTGCACAACAGAAGAAAGTATAAAAAAATCCAGTTTCAGGATAAAAGGCGAAGGCTAGAGTTGCATAAAAATAAGCCTTAAGACAATTGAACAAGTCCATTATTGAATGTGAATTATATTTTAATTTTTTTTTCTTACTTTCCTAGTGACGTACTATTACAATGAATTTGTACAGTCAGCGCAACCTAAATGTGAACGATCTTTTGTTATCATGGGATTTTCATACTGAAATTTATTCCAGTAAGTCTGATTTTCGCCAGTGGTTTTACAAAGAATATTGAGAAAAGAAAATATATCACGTTTATTAGTGCCGTCTTATATAGATTAAATGTGCAATAAAAAATTAAAGAATATAAAATTACAAAACATATTATTTATTACAAAATTAAATTAACAGGCCAGGAGTTCCCAAAGTGGTCGATACCGACCCCTTGGGGTGGAAAATCGGTTTCCCAGGGGTCGACTTAAACAAAAACTGATTTTAAAGGTCGACGAGGTCTAAAAATCGACCCCTATTAATTAATAAGTTTTTATTTGAAACTTTTAAGATACTGTATAAGTTGTGTTACGTGTACCAACTTGTTATAAGAATGACTAATATTTTAGTAGGAAGTATCATTGTTGTAATTTTAAAAAACTCAACAAGTCGATAAGCGTGCACAAGTTCGTACAAGATGAAAAACTTAGCAAGTCAATAAACGTGGACAAGTTCGTGAAAGATAATGAGTTCGAGCATACAATTTCAGGCACGTTTCGACTTGCTCTGATTTGACGCATATACGCGATTTAACACAAACGAAATCATGATCAAGTTCAAGTCCAAACATGCTCCTGATATTTTACTATATAACAAGCTTGCACTTAGGCTGAAAGTTAATTTGCGTTTTGAAATTCGTTGGAGCTTGAATGATATTACACTCATCTATTAATTTATTTCAAGAGATTACAAAGTGTTTACATAGTTAAATGAAGTGAATTAAGATAAAGTGATAGGAAAAGAATGTACAAAGTGCTTAGTTACTTAGTTACGCGCATTAATAGCGTAACTATACATTTCTGCAATTTATGAAAAAGTAATAGGGAAAGAACCAAAAAACGTTTTAATATTTTTCTAAGTATTTTTTGAAATAACTTTGGAAAAGTTGTTACCTAAAATTATAAATGTTATAAATTCTTTGTTTTCGTTTTTTACGCTGATTGGTACCTAATACAAATTTTCTATACTACAGTGAATATATCCAAGTTTATCAATGAGTAAGTTCGTGAGCATACCTCATCCAGTGCCTAGGTGTGATAAAAATAAGCAAAATTAACAGATAGTTTCTTAAACATTTTTTTAAATTAGCAGGTTTACTGCAAGTTTTATGATGGCAGACACAAAAAAAATTAGACAATACAGTTTGGACTACTTGAGGTTTGCATTTATTCCATCTCTATCAAATCAACACTTGCTCATTCTTTCAAGCACTTAAGGAAAAACTAGAGAAAAGGCCATCCATAAGATCAATGTTTGCGTCATTATCTATGCAAGACGTTGATGGTTTAATAGCAAAGTCGGAGAGCAGCTTATTTTATCAGCCATTGCGGAGGTCCTCAACAATGTATTGCACAAGCCCGCATATATTATAAAGATAATTCCTTTGAGCAATAAGACCGTTGGACTCAAATAAACGAGATGGGTCGAGACGTGGAAAAAATTTTATGCAATTTCTTACAGACCAACATATTCTCTCTCCAGTTAAACGAGTCTACATTACCCGGCTCTGTTGTTGGGATATGTTCAATATATTAAAGAGGAAAATATGTGCCAATAACTGCTTTTTGCTACATATTTAGAGACTGATACGATACCAGAGGAGAATCGATTTTACAGGACGTGGAACGATTTTTTACCGACAAAACTATTCATTCCATGAAAGAACAATGTTTCTGTTGCGACTGATGGTGCAGCATCTATGGTTGGTCATTATCGTGGTTTTATAGCTAACTTAAAGCGATAACTGCCTGATCATTCACTGTGTGATTCACAGACAGCATTTAGTAGCAAAAAATCCTAAATTGCACCAGTCTTTATAATATGTTATAAATGCTGTCAAGAAGATTCGAAGCAATTCTTTGAACTCTTTACTCTCAAGAGGTTCCTGCTTAGCAAGATTTTCAGATATTTTTGAATCTGTGTTGGAGTTTTTACAAGAAAAATATCCGAATTTGAAAGAAAATTTGAACAATTGTAAAACACATATTTATTACTTGACTGATATATTTGGTATGTTTAACAAAGTTAACTTATCCTTTATAAACAAAATTCACAGAATATTCACAGTTTCCGCATTTGTCAAAATTACCAGAAAGGCTTCAAGACGATGTTATTTTATCATATATCACTCACTTGGACCCATTACACAAGGATTTTACTAAGAGGTTTGATGATCTCTTAAATTTACAAATTCCTCAATGGACAATAAATCCGTACAATATCACAGCCATGGAAGAAACTAATATGTTGATGCAAGAACCGGTGATCACCATCAGCACAGACGAGGAACTTAAGCAGAAGTTCAACCAAGGCTATCAGAAGATCTGGTTACAGCACAATATTGAAACACAGTATCCTGTATTGTGAAACATTGCTGAAAAATACCTTATCGATTTTTCATTATCATACCTAGTCGAAAAAGGCTGCAACTCACCAATATTGAACCAGATTTAGCTAGATTGCTAGAAAGTCACCAAGTTCATCAATCACACTGAATTTTTAATTTTTTTTATTTTTGCTTTGCGATTTTAATGTTTTTTTTTTTTTAATAATTACCTACTTAAGTATTTTTACGTAATTTGTATTAATAATTATTAATTACACTTGATAATTATGTCTATTTATTTTGTTAAATTTTTATTTGGGAATTCCTGATCTAGACATATAAAAGTACAAAATGCCATTATTTATTATAATAGAAAATCAAAGGCCATAGCAAAATTAAATTAACATTTAAACATATAAAATTACAAAAATCATCATCATCATCATCATCACAAGAGCAAATCGAAGGCTAGAGCAAAATTGGACGAAAATTTATCTTTAAGTGAAGTGTATGCTGAATTAAATGGCAGTAAAAGTTGCATATTTTACGTTAAGAAACGGTGGCAAGAAAAACAAAGATTGCGAAGACCTTTCAGACAAGGTATAGGCAAGGTCTTTAATGAAAATGAAGACAATGCTCTCCCCGTTATTTAACAGCTATAACAAGAATAGTGTTATTAATAATTTTAATAATTTCAAAGCCATTGGCTGCCACAACACTTTTCAATCTTCATCGCTTGAACATAATTAAATGTCGCATGTCAGAGGAATCTGCGAGCTATTCCCAAGCATTTTCAATAACTAATTTTGCTACAGCCTTCGACTTTTGAGCCTCGGTGTCGAGTTAAATGTTGCGGCATTGTTGAAAATTTATGACATTAATTATTATAAGCTGTCAAATTTGAATATGCCATGAGCGACTATGATGCAGCGACTATGAAGCAAAGTCTATAATCACATTAAATTTTGGCGTTCATATTTCGGTTTCGTCAATTGTACAACATGACTTTATTTTATATTGATGCTTGGTTAAGTCATCTCCCTTGAAGAGCAACAGTCAGAAACGGTTTGCTTTTTGGCTTTTTTGTTTACGGAAAAAGCCAACATTCGTTTTTTGCCAGATACTCCGTGCACTAACCTTCCTTTTAAATAGTTATTTATAGTTATCTTAATTTAGTATATTCTTTCATAACACTAAAATTATTCAATAATTTATTTTCCTGATACACATGCATTATGGTTAATTAAGATTTCTTAAATGTTCGATGATTATTATTATTATTATTATTGTGTATTTTTGGTAAATAGTTTATCCGTAATTAAACGAATAAAAATTAAAAAATAATGCAATGAAAATATAACAGCTCAGTAAAAATAGACATTTTAATACATATCCAAAATAAAAATCCAACTTACTTACCCCTCGTCTATCAATCGCTTCATTTAACATTTGAACCACGTCATTGCCAACAACGTTTGAACAATTGAAACCTTTGGTCCATCTTTCTAAATAACCGACGGTTAAACCCGTTTGAGAGAGGGGGAAACTGAACGTGAAACCAAGGGGTAGTTTTTGATCAGCTACTTGTTCTTCTTTGACGAAAATAGCCAAACATTCAGCTGGAAAATAGAATTCGATATTAGTTTTATAGAGTGGATAATTTACTGGGTGGTCTGAGAATACGCAAACCTCAGATTTTACCAGGTAGCGTCAGGCGTCACCGAACCGTTGTGTTATTGTCCATTTTTATGTTAAAGTCAGTAGCATATTTTATTTTGTATAGGGCTGACTTGTTTTTTTGCCTATGTTAATCATTTTTTTGTAATATATACGTTATTTTTATACAGTCCACTTTATTTAAATAAGAACTAAACATTAGTCCTAGGAGCTGGATTTTTTTTGGGATTACAGTGCAAAAAGTTAGTACAAAAAAAATTGACCGGTTCAGAAATTAAAAAAAAAACTGTTGCTCAATTGTGTTTGTTTTCTACGGGTTGTCAATAAGGAAGCCTAAAGTCTGAGCGTTAAGCCGGTACAAGCAAAATTGAACCTTGTAGAAAAACACAAGAATTTGTCAATAAGGAAGCCTAAATAAAGTCCGTGCGTTAAGCCGGTACAAGCAAAATTGAACCTTGTGGAACAAACAAGTCGCTGGCGATAACTGTATTGTAGCTTTGTTGGTTGGGAACAGGATACAACGTGGTGCAGCATCGCCGAGGAATGAATTAGTGTGCAACGACAAACATTAGGAGTTCGGATTCTTTAAGGCATTCTATTGGATTTACGGGATGAGTTCCTACATGTTTGTTTCCTATATTTTGGTTGATTTCTGCATGAATCAATTTGGGTAATAACTTTTACGTGGTTTTATTTGGGGTAAAAAAATTGAATATGGCTAATTTATGTAGTTAATTTGAAGAAATGGAGGGACGTTGTAAATGGCTCATTAATTAGACAAGTAACATTTATTTGTAATTATAACGCGGATAAAAAGGAGCAAATTCTGAACAGAATAAAAAGATGCAAGTATTTAAAGCAACAATTTGAGGGAGTACAATTTAAAATTGAATTGCTTGATGTCTCTGAGGAACAATCGCTAGAAAAGGATGCGCTTGAAGCCATTTATTCTAAAGTAGTGGGGACATTTAGGCAAATATCGGGAAATTTAAACACAGTTCAGGGTAATCGGTTGTTCAAAGGGCACAGGGTGTAACTGTGATGCAGGCGAATGATAATATTGAAATAAGACTTTCACCTATCGAAATGCCAACATCTTTTGGTACACACGAGAGTAGGTTGGAGTTTCATGATATGTTTGTAGCGGTAATACTCTAAATACTGAATGAAACAATTATTTTTGTATTAAGAGCGAAAAGTGAAACTTTGCCGCTTGAGACGGAGCGCGACAATGTGTCGAAAGCGGCAAAGAACTTTTCGCTCAAAATGCAGTAACAAATCCTACACAAAACACGAGGCTAATAATCTTAGCAGTTAATGCCGATTACACAAAAAAAAATAGATTAGGATTATTTATTACAGCATGGTCCGCTTTTATGACATTTGCTAGTACATTTCATACGAGCTTTAAAACAAATATTTATTGCTATGACACTGTGTGCAAGAACACTTTTTAAATCCCTCATTTTAAATATAATTAATATTTTGCACAAATATTAGGTAGGTACAAAAAAGTTAAAACATCTAATCAACTCAACAACAATGATGATTGCAATTCGCCTAACCGTCAGTCGTATTATAATACGACGGATTAAATCTAGTCGGATTCTAAAACACATGCGCGTCGGTTCAATTTAACAATAAGACTAACAAGCGGCAGGCTTATTATAATAGGCCTGAAATTATTAGTCAAATTGTGAGATTCTTAATTATTTGAATAGTATAATATGCCTAGTCGTATTGAAAAAGCCTAAACGTATTATAATAAGACTGATTTTATAATAAGCCTGCGACATATATAAATGAATTTTATAATAATTATATGTGCCAGGAATTAGAAACTGATAAAAGATCTAATAATTTGGGGAACGCGAATTTCAAGTCGAGTCAGGTAAAAATGGAAAATTCGAGGGCGTTGATCACATTGGAGCAAAAGGCGTGCTTAATTTGTAACTCCGGGCAGCATAAAATAGTTCGATTGTTATAAATTTTTAAATGTGGGTGTACCTGCATTGCGTTCGGTCTGCCAAGTTCCTTTAACTCCTTTAACACTTTTAACTCCAAACGACCCTTTTACCGTTAGGTTTAGTCCGATTAGTGATAGTTTAACACGCTTAAATGTCATTTAAAAGCACCCTAAAATTTGTCCCGCTCCAGCCCCTGACTGACCGAACTCACCTCTGGTAGAAGGGAAGCTATAATAATAGGAGGTTATGTTGGAATTGTTTAACGCGTGTATATAGGTTGCATTTTTGTCAGGCCAAGGGATGTAGCCAGTGTGGCAGAAAACATTATTACATTTAGAACAAACCTTGCAGAATACTGAAGCTTCGCTACTGGAACTACTGGTACAAAACGATATTGAGAATAAGTCAAATACAAATAATAGCTCGGGTAGAATAGGAAATTCTGAATGTGGGTTTGTAGGAAATACAATTATTCGAAACACAAAGTTGGTTTTGGTTGTTTCGGGGCCAGTAATGGGATTGAGTGGGATAATTATAGTAAAGGGCAGATTAGGAAATGTAACAATGCTGCAAATGTTGGGATACAGAAGCAGTTTGAAAGATTTTGGGCATTAGAAGAGTATTCTCAAGTAAAGGCTCATTCTATAGAGGGGTAAGCTTGTGAGGATATTTTGAGGAAAATAACAAGGAGAAAACTGGATGGTAAATTCGTGGTATCCTTACTAATGAAAGAAAGGGAAGGTTTCATGATTTGGAAAGGAGATTTTCCAGGGATACTAATTTCAAAGAGATGTATTGTGAATTTATGGACCAGTATGCTAGTTCGGGTCATATGAATAAGATCGGAGAATGTGGAAGTGAGACAAAGGGTAATCATACTAATTAAGGGAAATGTTTTTTGCCTGATCATGGTGTGCTCAAGGAAAAGTCAGTTACGACGAAATTAAGGGTAGTGTTCGATGCGAGTGCAGCAACGAGCACTGGTAAATCCCTAAATAATACACTGATGGTAGGTGCAAAGCTACAATTTGATCTGTTTTTTTATCTTAGTACGATTTCGGCAACATCAAGTGGTTGTAACTGTCGATGTAGCGAAAATGTATAGACAGGTGGAGGTAGATGTAAAATAACGGAAGTTACTTTGTAATTTGTGGTAAAATTCAAGGATAAGGAGATAGAAATGTACACGTTATAAACGTTGACTTGTGCGACCGATGATGTTATCAAGGTGGGGTCTATGGTGCGAGATTGGTAGAATTGCTGAATTACACCCTGAAACATATAAGGTGTGTCAAGTAGTGACGGTGCAAATAAAAAATGGTGTATTTAAAAGGGCCTTAGTTCGATTGTGTCCATTGCCTTTTGAAAAGGAATGATTTATGTGCGGGTGTAATACAATATTTGTTGGTATAATAAAAACTTGTATGTTAGTAGTTTGTCTGTCGTAGTTTATTGTTAGGTACATTTTTACTTTCCTATCTGTATACAGATATAAGGAAAGTATAGGAATCATGATTTTTTCGACCTCGAGTTTTCAACGGATTTTTACGTTTTGAGGTCCCCTGAATCCGTTTTGACTATTTTCGCGATGATGTCTGTGTGTGTGTGTGTGTGTGTCTGTAGGTCGCATAATTCATGAACCGATACACAGAAAAACACCAAATTTTAAACTTAAGCTTTATTCCAGCGTCTAATGAACTGATTAGATTTTGGGTAGAGTCGGAACATCTGGGGGGTACTTTATAGGTGGTCATTTTGATATTTTATGGAATATATCTGTTATTTACGTTTGGAGAAGAAAATTCTTCAAGTAAAAGTTACTTCTAATATAATTGTCTATAATTTTTGTTCTTTACAAAATTTTCCTAAAATGGTCCGTATTCGAGATATTTAAGAAAATGTGTAAATTTCGAATTTTGAAGAAAACTCAAAAAAGGATAAAGAAAAAAACATTAAATTTTAAACTTAAGGTTTATTTCGGCCTGACGTGAAATGATTAGATTTTGGACAAAGTCAGAACATCTAGGGGGGTACTTTATGGGAGGCCGTTTTTATATTTTATGGAATATATCTGTTATTTATGTTTGGAGAAGAAAATTGTTCAAATAAAAGTTACTTCTAATATTATTATCTATAATTTTTGTTTTATGTCAAAATTTCCTGAAATGGTCCGTATTCGAGATATTTGACAAAATGTGCAAAATTCTGATTTTTATGAACATTGTTGAACTTAAAGTTGTTTGCGATATCGATCTCTATAATTTTTGTTTATACATGGACCGTAATGGAAAAGTGCTAAATTTAAACTTTTCAGTATTTTCGTTTTCAATGAATATCTATAGAAAAATGTTTCGAGGTAGATGTATGTGGATAATGTATATATTTAGTTTATCCTCTAAACATTTATAGAGATGCTGCAATAGGTTGTACAAAATAACCGGAAAAAGCCTATAATAACAAAATAGGAAAGTCATGTGTTGGACACATCAGATTTTTTTTCTATTGTATGGATTATTAAATGCAGAGCATTCAAGGAGGGTGGCATGGCTAATTTACTGGGTGGTCTGGGAATACGCAAATCACAGATGTTATCGGGTAGCGTCAGGCGCCACCGAACCGTTGGGTTCTTTGTACATTTTTACGTTAAAGTCAGTAACAGATTTAATTTTGTATAGGGCTGACCTGTTTTTTGTAATATATATGTTATTTTTATAAAGTCCAATTTATTTAATTAAGAACTAAACATAGAATGTATGGCAAACATAATTAAAAATGAATATAATCTTGAAAACAATAGAAATAAAATGTTAATGAACCTCCATTTTTATAAGTCTACTGTCACTGCCATTGTCAGTGGAACACACATCACGTCATCATTAATATAGTTTTTTGGTCATCTTGATCTCTAGATTAAAATTTTACCGGTCAAATTTTACATTTTTATAAGTCTACTGTCACTGCCATTGTCAGTGGAACATACATCACGTCATCATTAATATAGTTTTTTGGTCATCTTGATCTGTAGACTAAAATTTTACCGGTCAAATTTTACACCGTAGAAAAAATAGTGATTCGGAACCTAGGAACCCATTTAATAGTACACCCAGAAAATTTTTCTTATTAAGTAGGTACTTACCAATGTGGTCGAAGAGTTGTTCTCCTGAACCTAACATGATGTGTTGGGGTATGGCGAAGATTTTAGATTTCATTTCAAAATGTTCGCCGCTAAGTTCTATCAACAAGACTCTGAAATTTGTGCCTCCGAGATCAAGTGCTAAGAATTTTCCTTTTTCTAAAAAAGAAACCAATATTATTATAGCAGCTAATACAAAGCGTCAGTGTACGATATTTATTGTAATTTTCATCTTTAAGATTCAAATTATTATAACCTGTTGCTAGTTAGGAATTGAAATATTACTGATGTATGAGGAGTGATTCGAGATCCCATTTGCAATTTTTAATAGCTACAAAAGCAATTAAAAAAGATGTGTAAGCGAACATATGATTCACGCTTCCAAATTGATAATATAATTTTGGCAAGGAACGATGAAAGGGAGTCCCTTGGCGACTACGAACTGTTAGCGCGAAGACACTGTAGTGCCCTATCTTCTCATTTCGTTACACATTTGGATAATCTTCACTTCTGTGGCAGATTAGCGAAACGTAAAAAAGATTAACCTCACCCACACACCTAGAGAAATATACGGTTAAAGAACGACTGCGCATCTGATCTGAGTGTCTACTGAAACGGGATAGAATATTCCGCCATTTTGCCAGCTAATTGTCAGATTTAAGTGTCAACTTTTGATGCCGATAATGCCGATGCTATTTTAGTAGTTAGTTACCTAGTCATATATATACCTAAATCCCAATGTACCATCCCAATTTTTACACAGAGACACCTTTACGGGGAAATTATGATTTGTTCTTCGATCCTGCATTGACAAACCCCGGGGGTTCTGAGCAGTCAAGCGACAGCATTATCTTACATTTTTTCGAATGATTTGATCAATTTATCTGATTTTTAAAGTATTAGGAATATGTAATAATGCAATTTCACAAAATAATGTTAGTAATTGATGCATAAACAATTTTTTTACCATCCCAATTTTCACACAGAGACACCTTTACGGGGAAATTATGATTTGTTCTTCGATCCTGCATTGACAAACCCCGGGGGTTCTGAGCAGTCAAGCGACAGCATTATCTTACATTTTTTTCGAATGATTTGATCAATTTATTTGATTTTTAAAGTATTAGGATTATGTAATAAAGCAATTTCACAAAATAATGTTAGTTATTGATGCATAAACAATTTTTTTAATAATTATAAAATGCCTAGTAACAAAGGAGCTTGATGCATCCAATTTGTTTAACAAAAACGCATAATGTTGGTTGCATAATGTCTGGCTTTCACATTACCATGCTTTGTTGGTTGCATATATGTTTTGACAGATTTCTGGCAAAATGGCGGCTTATTAGACTTTTCAATTGTTGCCGTGTCGGATGTCTCTCTTGCGCTGTATAGTCATCTAGGTGTGTGACCTCACCTCACAACCTCGGTTGCCAGGAGCCGAATTATTGATATTGACTATCATCATTATTATTTTTAAATACATAAAATACCCTACCTTTTGTATTTTGCTTCATTTTCTACCAAGGAAACCCACAGGCGAAAGAGTGGTATCGGCACGATTCTTGTTTTTTTTTTGTTGAACAAATGTTTAACGAAAATAAATAGGTAAAGCTGGTTTCAAACGATCAATGTTTTGACAACTACCTTTGTTTTTTAAAATTGTGAAATGTTTGAGATCTATTAATAATTTTAAAGTTACCTTCGTAGTAAGATGTTAAAATAATGCCTTGAACTTTGAGGAAGATATTTTCTGTTGTAACCTACCGCACCTAGGCACCTTCATAAGTTTAAATTTAAAATCTTTCATTTAACAAAAAATTTCCCAGATAATTTAATCTTAATGCCTAGTAAATAAAATCAATAACACTGTTCGCATAAGATCTAATTTTCTTGTACGTGTCTGGGAACCCAACTCGAAACCAGCAGAAAACTTTTTTTTTCTCTAGGTAATAATCATTAAAACATTTAACGCGTTTATCTCAAGTTAGTTTCGAATATTAAGACCGATATCGACACAAAATTCCCTTTGGGTAAGTTCGGTTTGGAACTCGACGGATCGCACAGAGCGCGCACGGAGTGCGTGACGTCATAGACAGAGTTCACTCTTTTTAGAATCTCAAGACGAACACAAGGGGAATGACATATGACACTAGTGATAGTTTGCACTTGAATACACTTTTGTGTGTGTCTATGGACTGTAAAAAAATAATTTTAATCAAATAGAAAATAGTTATAACAGAAACAAACAAGAAATATTACGTGTAAAACTGATTAATCACCGATCAGAAAATTGACATTTGACATTTTTGACACATTCCTACAGATACTCGCTGATCTCCATCGGCCAACTCGGGGAAGAGTGAGCGCGCTCTGAGTACGTGATCTGTGGCAAGCCGAACACAAAAGAGTACGCTCTGAGTGCCAAGGCGACCACAATCGAGGCATACCGAGTGCACTCTGAGTACAGCGAACGCCAAACCGAACTTACCCTTTACGAATCGAGTCCTTGTCAAAACAAACCACTTGAAATTCGACAATATGTTTGCAACATCCCTTAAATACGTATAAGTCTGTCTCTCTCATGCTCCCTTTATGGCTGAGTTCGGTTTGGCGTTCGCTGTACTCAGAGTGCACTCGGTATGCCTCGATTGTGGTCGCCTTGGCACTCAGAGCGTACTCTTTTGTGTTCGGCTTGCCACAGATCACGTACTCAGAGCACGCCCACTCTTCCCCGAGTTGGCCGATGGAGATCAGCGGGTATCTGTAGGAATGTGTCAAAAATGTCAAATGTCAATTTTCTGATCGGTGATTAATCAGTTTTACACGTAATATTTCTTGTTTGTTTCTGTTATAACTATTTTCTATTTGATTAAAATTATTTGTTACAGTCCATAGACACACACAAAAGTGTATTTAAGTGCAAACTATCACTAGTGTCATATGTCATTCCCCTTGTGTTCGTCTTGAGATTCTAAAAAGAGTGAACTCTGTCTATGACGTCACGCACTCCGTGCGCGTTCTGTGCGATCCGTCGAGTTCCAAACCGAACTTACCAATCCTAGCTCTGCGTCACAAATTGATAGGTACATTGCGTGATTCACAAGAAAAATAGATAAACACAGGTCCGGATTTAGATTTTTTAATTCCATATCTTTCTTATTTTCAAGTTTTTCTTTTGTAAGTTATTTGAAATTGTTTATTGTGACTTCTATGCACAGTTAAAGAAGAAGTATCATATATGCTTCTGATGGACAGGCAACAATCAGTTTTTGTTGAATCAACTACTTATTTTCTATTGTTACTACGCTATGCGGACATCATGGTGCTGAGTTGTTCAATTAAGTTAACATTTTGCGAAATTTCATATTACTTTGGTGTTGAGTACGAAATTTCGAATAAAAAAATATACTACAAACCTGTGCCGTTGGGAAGATCTTGTACATATGTAGGAAAACATTTAACAATAGAAGTTGGATGAGTTGCTTTCTTCAGACCTCTTTCAACATTTTCCAGGAACACTTTCATTAATTTGCGAATTTTTTCATTATCCAATATTAGTTCTCTGCATTTATCTCGAATCTGTAACAATAAAAAAATGTTGTAATATTCTGAGATATTTTTAACCGACTTCAAAAAAGGAGGAGAGGTTATCAATTCGTCGCGATATTTTTTTTTTTTTTTTTTTTTTTTTTTTTTTTTTTTTTTTTATGTATGTTCAGCGATAATTCTTCAGCACGGTGTCCGATTTCAATAATTCTTTTTTTGTTAGAAAGGGGGTACTTCAGGGGTGGTCCCATATAAATTTGGTCAAAATATAATAATTGGGTCTGTGAGAAAATCCTCAAACTCTTCATTTTTTTATGTATGTTTAGCGATAATGCTTTACCAAATTGTCCGATTTATATGATTCTTTTTTTGTTAGTAAGGGGATACCTCAGGGGTGGTCCCATATAAATTTGGTTAAGATATGGTGACGGCATCTGCACGTTTTTGAAGTCGGTTTTTTTAAATTTTTAATTTCTAATACTTGTTATGTATTACTAGGATTGCGAAGCTTTGCAGTAGTTGTGTTAAACTTTATAGTGCGGGTAAGCTGGTTCGATGTATCTAGTTGGCAAGTACCATGTTTACTATTTACTGGATTTTAGAACAAACTATCGTGATTATAAAAGTGTGTACATGCCGAAGATGACTCGATGAGTGATGATTGATGATCGATAGGCGATGGTTAAGTAATGTCAATCAATGTAACACAAATGCACAGATTTAAATAAGAGTGCATACCAAAGATAGCACACCCTCGCACCATCGATGCTTGCATCGATATTTACCACGATATTTACAGGCATCTTAAAATTTTGAAAGCGATTGGCTCTATAAATTATTTCTGGTGCGACGGTATCGGTAGCAGTAGCACACGTCACAGAACATAACGTATAGTCTTAAATAATAAGTAAATTATTATCAAGAGACATCCCAAATGAAAAAAAAAAATCGGCTTCTATTTGAAGATGCTCCAAAAAAATCACTATTCGCGATTCAAGCTAAGTGACACGCCCTCTGGAGGAATTTAGTAGAAGGTCCCTATAAGTAGGATATCGTTCAGTGTTGCCAGAAGCAGCAAAATTTCGTTACGTCGTCGGATTTTAGTTCTTGAAGAAATGGATAAGACCTTTTATTTAAAGATTAAAATTTGTGTCTAGTCAGTGGCGGCTCGTGGGGTGGTTCACAGTGACAGAATGTAGGTATCAGTACAGATGTATGAAAAAACTTTCAGTGTTTTAGAAAGTTTATAATATACCTTTCTAAAACACTGACAGTTTTTTACCTATATCTGTACCGGAATCTATATTCTGCTGCTGTGAACCCCCAAAATTTTGGTCACGAGCCGTCCCTGTGTCTAGTAATATGTAATCATACTCTATATTTATTTAAGGATTTTTTTATAAAATCGATTAATTATATTGATTTTTTTAAATTTCAGTTCATTTATTAATTTTGTTTTAAAATCAGTCAGAGACAAAATCAGTTCATCTTTTGGCAACATTGGCGTTCGTGTTCATTGTTTACATTTTAATTTGTATCAATTACAATTCGAGTTTTTTCTTACTTTTTAGCTTTAAATTTGTTTATTTCTTATAGTAAGTGATAGTGTTTAAATTAAAAATGAAATCTGCTAAAAAGCCCCCAGCAAATTGCAATCTATATGGTGTTAATGTCAAAATTAAAACCGAAGTACATATTCATTATTTTCCAAGTGCAAGTCATAAAATTTTGTTTCTTACGATAAATGGGTATCTACAAATTCACAATATTGAAATTTTGCAAAACTTTGTTTAGAATCAAACTGCAATCTGATTTCTGACGGTTTTATTACCATTTACATGTATACAAAGTACCAAACAATTCACTTTATGATATAAGAATAAGGATAGTTAGAGTTTTAAATAAGTTCATCAATAATAAACGTTTGGTACCTGATATGTCCTTAAAACCACGTAATAAAACATGTCCTGGGTTTAGTAAATACATATTTCTAGATGTTCCTTTAGCAACCAATAGGTCAATATTTCCAACAAATTAGTTCATACTACACATGATAAATATTATATTTATAACGAAAGCACAAAAACTAAACTTAAATTAACACTAAATGAAACTCAAAAACACTATTATAACGATAATATTATCTAAAAACAGTTAAAAAATCACAAATACAAAATCCCACACACATGTAAATAAACAAACATCCTATTTATAGTTGACAAATGACAGGCGCGCGAAAATTAATTTGGATCGCGAATATTATGTCTCAACCAGTGTTGCCAGATGGAAATTTCTGTCAACAGTAGGAATATAGTCAAAAAAATCATGATTCCTATACTTTCCTTATATCTGTATACAGATAGGAAAGTAAAAACAGGAGATTGCTTTTTTCAACAGATTTTAATAAACCTATTTTTTAATGGAGGAACACAGTACAAGCATAAGAAATTAAAAATATAACTCTAGGGAGTTCTATTAACAGTTTTCAATTACATCGGAACGTCACGTGATTTAGACTTCTAGTCGGTTAATAGGTCAAACAAAATTTTAATTCTCACATATGTAGGTATAACATTTTGGTGGAATCACTTTTACCGACTATGGAATTATATTTGACATCAGGGAAAGATTTTGTACTTCAAAAGGATGGAGCAGGATGTTACACGTCTAAAAAAGCCCTAAAATGGATGGAAGACTTCGGTTTTCCACTTTTGGAATGGGTTTCTAGTAGTTCTGATTTATCACCAATAGAAACGTTGTGGCATGAGATCAAAAAGGTACTTCGAAAACATCCTGCAAGAACAATCCCTCAACTTAAACAAAAATTTCAAGATATATGGGATTCGTTTACACCAGAATTTTGCCAAGGCATAGGTAATACCATGCCGCAAAGAATTTCTGCTGTAATAAAAAATAAAGGCGACGTTACTCAATGGTAAACTTTACAATTGATTATTGTTTAATTCCAATACTATTTGTTTAATTTTTCTTTATTTTATATTGAATAAAGATTTTAATGTTTTCTACGTATTTTTTGTGATTAAATATATTGTTTAACTAATAAAAATTGGAAAATTCATGCAGTATTTATGTTTTTTCTTTAAACGCGAATTTCCTAAATATCAATTGGTGGGCCAACTGAAATGGGAAGGAGTTCGTATACATGTAAACAAACAAAAAAATGTAAATTTCGTAGTACTAAAAATAGATCTGGTAACACTGATCTCAACACACTAACATATACTAAGGACTACAGTAGTCCAATGCATTATCTTTTTTATCTCGCTGAGATGACTTATATAATCGAGCTGAACTACATCGGCGGCTATTGACTTTGAAACTGGTCGAGGCATCGAACATAAACAAAGACAAGAAAGGTTACTCTAAGCTCTTCCCTTAATATTGTCCCTCTCGCTCACTTTCTGATGCCACTCTTGATATACTTTGGCCGATTTCAGATTCCATTCAATTTAGTAGTTGCGGTTACGCAGCTAAAAGATCAATGTATTTTATGAAGAAAGCATAAAATTTTATAGTTTGTTTTTGAAAGAGAACGTTTAAGTCATGTGATGAAATTATCGTAAATTGTAGAGAACACCAAAATTATCGTATAAAACGATCATTATCTTACACCTGGAAACACTGCTTGAAGCATCTATCATCACTCATCGTGGAAGATATCTTCGGCATGTACACCAATAATCTATCATCACTCATCGGTTATCGATCATCGGTCATTAAAACATATTCGGCATGTACACACCCTAAAACAACAAATGGGGGTTGGTTCAGTGGTTAGAGTCATGACTTTGAGATCGAAATGTCTCATAATCGAATCCCACAGGTGGCAAGGATTTTTATTTAATTAAAAAAAAAAAACTATTATAATGCATAGGTAGGATTCCTCAGTCGACCATTCACTGTTGAGTTTTAATTAACAGTGCTGTTCCTAAAGTGGCGCTGGAAAACAATGACACCAAATTAAAAAAACAACAAATAGATTTTCATGAGAATTTTCAACTTCATATTATATTAGGAAATAATTTTAATAATTTTTGTTGAAGTTCCTTCAACATAATAAAATATAGAACAAATGGTTTTAGTTTAAACAATTTGAATTTAGGCATACAAATTATCAGTCCAACTCTGGCAAGCTTAGAATTCTCGAGGTCATTACTCAATCCACGTCACGAGTCATCTGTCATTTGATTAGTTGCTAACAAAGAAATTGGCCTGACGCGTTATCCAAGAGACGCTTGTATTTTTTCGCGATCTTGCTTCTAAAGGAAGAAGATCCTTCTCTCTCAACGGCACAAGACCTGTTTTGCAGTTGTGAAAATATTTGGCTTCAACCGGGACGTCAGTCACCATGTCAACACAGCACAATTCCTAAACAACTATTTGCTTCTTGTACAGACCGTTACATTCATCCCTATTGTCTGACATTTTTTCAAATATTGGCTACAAAGTTAGAATATGTTTCCGAACTAGACTCGCACACGGATTATAATCACTTATGATTCAAATTCAGCAAAGATTTAAAGTAGGGACAGAAATTGGAAAGGCTTTTGGTAGGTGGAGAGGTGGTAAATGTCAAACCCTGTCGCACGACTTCGAGAATTTCGCGGTAAAGTTTGTTCGCCAGTGTCGTATCGGTAGAATAAAAATAATGCCAAACATTTTAAATTATTACCGGCGGAATCAGGCAATCGTATCTACTTATGGGCTAGAAATAATTATTTAAGCAAGTAATAATATCGCAAATAATAATTTTACGAAGTTTCAACCATTATTCACAATTTATTAAACTATATATGCGAAATTCTTATTGGCATTCATAAAATAAAATGGCGGATTTACCATTCTCTAAAGAAGAATACAGTTTAAAAAAATAAATAGAATTAGCTTAACACATAATGAATTAAATCTACTCAAGAAAAACAAAAACAAAAAAAGGTTAAGTCCATACATAAAATTTTTAAAATATTTCTATAAATTATATTATATCTAAAATAAAACATTCAAATAAGTCA